TGATGCTAGGAAGCTTTAGATTTCTATGACTCGAAGGCTAGACGAGAGAAAAACGGTATTCCCAGAATTGAAGAAAACAACATGAAGCCCATGAAAATAACAATGGAAATATCATCCTAACACTGGACAATGATAACAACAACATCTCTGAATAGATGAATGAAGAAAAATAGCAAAAAAAGATGAAGAAGTGTCATGTCAAGAATGAAATCATCTCAATATGTGCTGTTTTCTCGGGGGGTGATTTCAATGCAGCAGTGGCAGCAGCAGCCGCACCAACAACAGCAGTAACTGTATGGGTCATAGGTTGAATGGTAAAATGAACTTTTGGCCCTGAATGGCTGCATTGTTTTGTGGACAAATGGATAGAAAAAAAAGAGAGAAGGGGGAATTGGTAAACATCATCTTCTATTTGATTGTGGTAGAGAATGGCCTTTAGGATGTTTCAAATGTTAGGTGTTAAGTAAATGACAATATTGCCTTTATGATTTTTCAGTTTTCTTCAAATATTTGTTGTTAACTCAGTCGAAATGCCTTGACAATGGGAGTGACTTTTTGATGCTATTGTATATTTTTTGAGTTTGATTGGGTAGGACAATGGCAGATTTTTAATATCATAATAACCTTGAAAGTGAAATATTTTTATGGCATAACTCGGCCGATCAAAAATTCTCAATTCTCAAAATTCTTACTGGTCTCCTGGCCCCTTGAAAAAATATATAAATATAAATATATAAAGAAGAATAATAGGATTAAGCCTGAACATTTTGCAACAACAAAATACTATGGTATCCCGAACAAACATGCCAATACTGTTATATTTTTTATACATCAGTCACAATTTTTTTTATTTATTTTATTTTATTTTTTTTTTTTTTTTTTTTTTTTTTTGAAAACGATTCACATGTTTATGTCCTTGAAAAAATAGTCCTCAAATAAACCTGGATTATTATTCCGTGAATAAATATTCTTTAAGAAATCCATGTTTTTGGGTTCTTGAATATAAATATTCTTTAAAAATCCACGCCCTTGACAAAGAATTCCTGAAAATAACCAACTCGAAAAAATACTCTTTCAAAATCCACTTTTATCAGTTGTTTGCAAAAATAATCCTTTAAAATCCAGTTTTGTTGGTCCTTAAAATTATATTCTGTAAAAAAACCCGCGTCTAATCCAAACTTTTAAATCATAGACTGTTTAAAATAATTTTCAAGGCCTTTCGGCACAAAAAAAAAAAATTAAGAAAAGTTATTAAAAATTTGTCAGAAAAAAATCGTAAAAAAATTTAAAAATAATGAATTCTTGACAATAATTCGAAAGATCCTTGTCAGTCAAGAACTTTACAGCGAAAACATAAACTTTTGAGGATCGTGGGATACTAACATATTTTCAAGAAATTTGTTCCTTTAACACTAAGTATCCAGGCCAAAATACATAGATTTTTAAAAATGACTTCCTGGACCAGAATCGTAAAAATTTTTATCTCTCCTTGATTTTTTTCAAGGACCAATTGATCGAAGTTCGTGCATATTTATTTATTTTTTTTTTTTGATTTCCTGGAGATTAAAGGACTTTTTGAGAAGGATTTTATGAAAAATGTTAATAACTTCGAAGTTTTAAAAATAATAACATCATTCATGGCAAGAAAATTTTAAATTCGAGAAATAAAAAAAAAACAAGGAATTCTTCTCAAAAATTGAGGAACAATAAGGAATTAGAGAAATTACTTAGGATCTTCCTCTTAGAAATCAGGAATTGATTATCGGGAAAATCTTTTATAGCAAAAAATCATCTTGGAATTTTTTAAAATATCTCAAGAAGCATGAGCTTCAAGAACTTCGGAGCTTTGATCTTAAACATCTAGACCAAAATTTTGGAATTTTTAATTTGTTAAAATTTCCCGAAATGTTTAAAGGTCCAGTAATAGCGGATATATATACATATTTTTCCAAAAGCTTTCGAAGTTGAATACACCTTTCGAGAGTTATCGTAGACACCATCTAGCCAGACACACCGACAGACTTCTACTTCTATATCGTCTTCAAATGTCCTGAAACAAATTTAGTCCAAGGAGACCCAGGTTCAAAAACCATTAATTCGATGAGGCACGTTTTAGCCGTATCAAATGATATATAACCTCCGTATGATGTATACCCTCTGTAGGCTATAGTTAAGGAATTTTTGCCAAGAAATGGAGAAATTTAAAAAAGAACAGGACGTTTTACTTGTGAATAGTGGATTTTGCAATAATATTTTATTAGGACCTTCTTGGGGAAACGACCTTCTTGGGGGTACTGTATCATTTAAGAACTTTTGAAGAAAAAAAGGGGTTTTGCAACTTGATGAAAGCATCACTTGATTTCTAAAATATTTTTCAAGAAACCCTAAAAATCCTGGACATTAATGGGGATTTTTTAAAAATTTTTAAAAAAATATCCTTTCATATTCTTTTCTGAAAATTTTATAACTTCGAAGTTTAAAAAATAACAACATCATTCATGGCAAGAAATTTTTAATTTCGAGAATTAAAAAAATCCAGGAATTCTTTTCAAAAATTGAGGACAAATAAGGAATGAGAGAAATTTTTTTATGATCTTCCTGGTAAAAATCAAGAATTGATTGTCGCGAAAAAACTTCTATAGCGAAAAAAAAATTATCTTGTCCTAGATATTTTTTGTCGGAGTTTTCATCTTGAATATCCAGACCAAAATTGTTGAATTTTTAATTTATTAAAATTTTCAGGAATTTTTAAAGGTCCAGTTATAGCGGATTTTTCTATATGTTTTTTTAAGAGTTTTCCCCTTCTTGGGGAAAAGACGGGGGTACTGTATCATTCAAGAACTTTTGAAGAAAAGAATGGTTTTTGCAACTTGATGGAAGCATCACTTGATTTCTAAAATATTTTTCAAGAAACCCTAAAAATTCTGGACATGAATGGGGATTTTTTTAAATTTTCATGGAACTTCTAAAGATCTAAAAATTGCGATTTTTTTTTTTGATTTTTTCAAAAAATATTTCTTAGGTATTTTTAAAAATATATCCTTTCATGTTCTTTTCTGAAAATTTTATAAGAATTTTCAGAAAGCATTTTTAGGGATACCGTCATTACAATTCGTGATTTTTTTAAAATATATCATTAATCAGTCTTAGGGGGTTTTAAAAAATTTTCTAAAAAACCAAAAAAAAAGACAAATTAAAAAGCAATAAGTTCGGCCAGTATCGTTATATGGGGCCTATACGAAGACCTGGACGTGCATAGCCAATTTTCTGTCTTAGGCTGTAGTACTTATTTTAAGCAACCACTACGAAATTTGAAACAATTCCGGTGAACAGAATCGCTACCTCCCTACAGGGAGGTACAATTATATGGGGGAAATACTAAAAGTCCTGAAGACAACACAGACATTTGAGTAAAATTTTTTCAACCTACTTCAATTTGTTCGATAGCTGAACAAGAATATAATTTGGAAAAAAATTTTGGAATTATTTCCAATATAAATTTTATTTTTTATACAAATTTAAAAAACCTTCTCCAGAAATTGTGGGCTTTTTAAAAATATAGAAGAAATTTTTGATCGATTGATTTGAATCGAACATTTTATACAACTACTTCGTTAAGATGTTCCTTGCAAAAATCAACAGCCTGTGGTTATTCAAAAATTTCCATCGAAAAACAATTTTGGATATTTTAAAATTATTTCCAGGATAGCGGTTTCATAAAATTTTGTTGTTGCAAAATGGTTAGGCTTAATCCCTTTATTGTTGTTTTTATAAAAACAACGTTTGTTTATTAGTGGAGAACGATGGTAATGTTTACCATGGGGTAAGGTTTCTTGAAATATTTTTCAAGGACTTCGTACTAAAAATACAAAAATACGAACACTATTACGAGTTCATGACCGAATCTTTTAGTTTTTGTTAAGGACTTCTTAGGAAAATTTACAGATTTTCAAAAAATATTTTGTCAAGGTTATATTGGAAGAAAACTCCGTTTAAAAGTCAAGATTTTTGCAAAGGACAACTTCAAAATCCACGATTTTTACAAAGAAGGAAACCATTTGAAAAATATTTGTTGTGGATTTTTAAAAATATTTTTAGAGACCCATCTATAAATATATTTAGAGGCCTATTTATAAACGAGGATTTTTTAAATAATTTTTTGGAGGCCCATAAATAAACGTGGATTTTTAAAATATTTTTTAGAGGCCCATCTACAAATGTGGATTTTTTAGAGGCCCATCTACAAACGTGGATTTTTTAGAGGCCCATCTACAAACGTGGATTTTTTAGAAATATTTTTTAGAGGCCCATCTACAAACGTGGATTTTTTAGAGGCCCATCTACAAACGTAGATTTTTTAGAAATATTTTTTAGAGGCCCATCTACAAACGTGGATTTTTTAGAAATATTTTTTAGAGAAGCGTTAGGTCCCGATGTTATAAAAATTCTATCAGTCCATGCTAGGTATTTTTTTTTTTAAATTTTGTAAAAATGGATAGTTTTTGGCCCCGAAATCCTTGAAATCTTAACATCTGGACTAAGATTGCCAAACACATGAGCAAATCCCAGGCTATGTTTGATATTTTATTACATGTGCTGGAGCAGTATAAAATCCTCTTGCTAAGAAAAATTCTAAAATTCGAAAATTTTTCCTTAGCCTTTGAGATCCTTCGCGTCAAAGAAACTGTGATTTAAATGATTACTCCCCAAAATATCATCGCCAAAAATATCTCACCCAAATTATTTAAGATATTCAAAAAGCGATAAACCTAAAATAACTCCTGGCTAAATGTTTGTTTCCTACCAAGGCCATATAAAAAGTATCCTCATTTATTATGGCATGCTATTTATGTTGCCTGCTTCTTCTTTTTTTTTGCCTTCTTGGGAGGACCTTCCTTTTCACTTATATTACACAATATTTGTCTTGTCTTTGCATCAACATCATCATCTTATTTCTCATTTCGTGTCTTTCTCTTCTTTCTTTCTTCCACACAATTTAGGTTGATGGTGTCGTTATACGTCCTGGTCATTCCAATCTCGATATCGATGATTTAATGGCACGCAATATGAGACGCTCATCATCGGATGGCGGTGGCGGCGGTGGCTCTTCGGGCGGTGGTGGAGGTAATTATGGCGGTGGTGGCGGCAGTGGAGGTGGAGGCAGCGGCAGTTATTTCAATGGTCCCGGAGGCGGTAATGGTTTTGGCGGCATGGTTGCCGGTCATTATGATGTCCTTTTCGGTGTGGTAACGGGCGAATCGATATGGCGCTTCAGTGCCCATGACATCCAAAATGGCTTCGAAGGCGAGCGGCGTGATAAAATCATTCGGACTTATGTTCGCAATGCCTACAATTATCATTTGAATGAGATATTTTTTACGGTAAGTTGATGAGTTACATTTTGTCATTGAATCGGGTTCTTTGTTTGGGGAGTATTTTTTTTTTTTTTTGCAGGGTTAGGTGTCATTAGTGGGTATTTTTTGTAGGGGGTGTGAGGGGAGGTGGTAGGAACATCATCTGTGGATGTTGAATTGTATTGATGACATGTTTTGTAATTGTTGTAATTTGAAGTGTATTAGAGTAATTGAATACTTGAGTGATGAGGGTTTTTTTTTCTCTAAAGAAAAAAAATGTTTAAATGTTTATACGAAATTTCTTCATGAATTCTTATTTTATATTAATTTTACAATATGTTGGCCTTTCGCCGTAATTATGAAAAAAATTGAAATTTGTCGTCCAGTGTAATTATTTGTTTGTGTGTTTCGTAGTTGTTATGTTTATCCAAAAAAGAAGTATGACCATGGCTTTTAATTTGCATGGAAAATTTATTCACCATTTTACGCAGCAGCTACGTAAAACACAATTTTTGCTTGTGGTTTCAAAGGCTTTTAGTTTTCAGCGAAAATTGTAGGAAATAAAAAAAAAGTTGAGCAACTTTTCTACAAATATTTTTTTCCAACTGTTCTGTTTAATTTTTTCTGTGTTTTTCAGTTTTTTTATTTTCTGAGCAACCGAGCTGTTGTTTTTTTTTTCTTTTTTTTTTGGGAAAACCCGTCAAGTTACTGCTTGTCGAAAAGTTTTTGAGGTAAGGTTTTCCTGCGTTAACATTAAAAATAGATTTATTCATGCATATGCAAAGACCCCGGCAATGTCAAAATATAATTTTATATTTCAACTTTATCCATTTTTTTTTTTGAAATTTTTGCATATAGAAAGAGCATTTTTGTTCGATAATTATCGAACGTGTATGTGTATTGGGAAATAATGACATTTTTATGGAAAGGTAAATGGTAATTTAAAATTTTCGTGGAATATGAATTACTCAAATAATATTGAAATGAAATATTGGATGGAACAAATGCTGCCATGAAAAATAAATAGCATTGATCCTCGAAAAATGTCCATTCAAAACATTCAAAACCCTTGTAGAAGAAGTAGCCCCTTTTATCCGTTCTTCGTACTTGACCTTGTGTTGGTAAAAATATTGGGATATACGAAACATAAGACAATCGGACTATTATTTTAATAGTTTTATTCGTAGCGATTGTTCAATATTTCGACACATTGTGGAGAGGCACTACAAGGATTGAACCATTTTCGCACTGGACATAACATTGGCGCAAATCTTATGATTTTCAAAGTTTGAACAAAATTGGATATTTTTTTTTTCCTACTATGAGTTAAAATCTTCTTTGAAAATTTTTACATTTTGCGGGGGAGGTACCTGAAAGAGTTTGGGGATATTGACAATCTCTGAACTAAATGTAAGTTTAATAATAATATTACGATGTACCAAGTTTGGACCAAATCATCCGACGCGAGGACGTACACCCCTAGATCGACTCCAAACGGATTTGGACAGAAGAATCCTAAGGTCTAAAACTGTTATTTTGATGAGACACGTTTTGGTCGTATCATATGGCCATATGGCTGAAGGCATAAAAATCCTCGTTTATTCCTGAGTTGGCCCCTGAAAAATGGAAAATATACTTAAGAAATACCACATATATTCGTCAGTTTTACCTCGAAAAATATTCTTAAAAATATCATTAAACAAGTAAGCAAAGGCTACAGTCGAGCGGGGCCGACTGTTGAATACCCTACAACACTATAACAAACCATACAGTTTATATAGGCGAGATACTCCGAAGAACTCCACAAGATATTGTGACAAATAATAAAAGAAAGCCATCAGGTTTCGTTCTCTAATTTTCGAATAATAGCAACTTAAACGAATTTGCTCATTTCCAATTTATTGGTAGATGTTGCACGTAAATGGTCTTCCTAGATCTGGAACCAATATTTCCCAAAGACCTATAATCCTAGGTCTAGAAGTGGCAAAAGATTAACATTTATTATTGGTTTTTAACTGAAACGCGTCTATATGAGATACAGACATTTGACTATATTCTTCAACGAAATCAGCGTTATCGAAATAGTCAGAAGTGCGTCTTTTCTGTATTTGTGAATTTAGTCTACAAAAGTTGGCAAACTATTTCAAACATTGAATATTTTTGGATGGCCATCCGAAACTGCTTGGCTTTTGCAATGTGCGGTAACCCCCATTCAAATGTGCATGAGGATCGGGCGATAATTACGACCTGCTGACAATTTTGCAGTTTTTTGGTCCATTTCAACCACTAAATATATGGCGATAATCTCCAAAAAGAGTAGGCATCTATTCTGACCCTCATATTATCCCCATGCAAAATTTCGTAAGGATCGGGCCATAAATGCGATCTGTATATGATATCCTGATATCCTAACTACTTAGTTTTGTTAGCTGTAGAAATATTACCAAATGTTTAATTCAAAATGAAAATATGCCAAAAATATGACAAAATTGAAAAAATATGAGAAAATTTTAGAAAATCAATATTTTCATCTTTAGAGAGATATTTTTATGCGATTTTTTTAGACGTTTTTTCTTTCCTGCCAAGAGGCCATTCTGAATTAATGAGAACTGTCGAAATCAGTTCAGCCGTTCTCGACATATAAGAGATCTTTCAAGCATATCTTCTTTGATAGACATATATATCGCACATATTTTGCTATATATCCGATTTGTTGGATGTTAACATCAATGTAAAGACCAGAAGTAACCTTGTCATGGCTTTGTGATTTCGCCGGGATTTAAAATATTCGCGGTTTAATGAAAATTTTTGAATTTTTTCAACACAAAATATATGGTCTATTTTACCCGCTAAATATTATCCGATGACCACCCGAATTGGTAGGCTTCTTCCCTGCCCTAAACTCTAGCTACATGCGAAATTCCGCTTCGATTGGTCTATAATTGCGACCTGTATAGCTACTGCAAAATCCGACATTTTTTCAGTATTTGGTCCATTTCAACCCCTAATCATTTGGCGATCATCTCCAAAAGAAATAGGGTTCTATTCTGACCCAAACCCCACCTTCGTGCAAAATTTCGTGAAGATCGGGCCACAATTGCGACCTGTAGAGTGATTACAAATTAACATGGACAGACGGACAGACGGACAGACGGACAGACGGACGGACGGACATACATAGCTAGATCGACTCAGCTCGGCGAGCTAGGAAGATCCATATATACTTTCCTATATGGGAAACCAATATTTCGTGGTGTTACATAATTTTTGGCCCAATCAAACTTATAATACCCCCAACACATAGTGTTGTAGGGTATAAAAAATTCACGTTTATAACTCTGGAAATCCTTGAAAATATCCTTGAAAAAAATCACGTTTATAACTCTGGAAGTCCTTAAAAAATATCCTTAAAAAATTCACGTGTATAACTCTACAAGTCCTTGAAAAAATATAATTCCAAAAATCCAAATTTATAACTCTTAAAGTCCTTGAAAAATATCTCTCAAAAAATTCACGTTTGAAACTCTGGTAGTCCTTGAAAACTATCCTTCAAAAAATCCACGTTTTGCACCTTTGGAAGTCCTTGAAAATATCCTTCAAAAAATCCACCTTTATATACTTTTCTGGAAGTCCGTGAAAAATGCCCTTCAAAAATTCACGTTTATATACTTTTCTGTAAGTCCTTGAAAAATATCCTTCAAAAAATCCAAGTTTATAACACTGGAAGTCCTTAAAAAAATGTCCTTTAAAATATTCTTTTAAAAAACCACGTATCATTTGGTCCACGTATTCTTTAAAAAAAATCCAGGTTTGAATAATGAAGGTCCTTCAAAAAAATTTTTTTTTACAAATTTACGTTCATTGATCCTTTGGTCCTTCAAAAATATTCTTAAAAAAATCCAGGTTTGAATGATGAAGGTCCTTGAAAAATATTCTTCAAAAAATCCACGTTTATGTTGATCTTTGAAAAAATACTCTTCAAAAAATCCACGTTTATGTTGATCTTTGAAAAAATACTCTTTAAAAAATCCACGTTTCTGTTGGTCCTTGAAAAAATATTCTTTAAAAAATCCACGTTTCTGTTGGTCCTTGAAAAAATATTCTTTAAAAAATCCACGTTTCTGTTGGTCCTTGAAAAAATATTCTTTAAAAAATCCACGTTTCTGTTGGTCTTTGAAAAAATATTATTTAAAAAATCCACGTTTCTGTTGGTCCTTGAAAAAATTTTCTTTAAAATGTCCACGTTTCTGTTGGTCCTTGAAAAAATATTCTTTAAAAAATCCACGTTTCTGTTGGTCTTTGAAAAAATATTTTTTAAAAAATCCACGTTTCTGCTGGTCCTTGAAAAAATATTCTTTAAAATGTTCACGTTTCTGTTGGTCCTTGAAAAAATATTCTTTAAAATGTCCACGTTTCTGTTGGTCCTTGAAAAATATTCTTTAAAAAATCCACGTTTCTGTTGGTCCTTGAAAAAATATTTTTTAAAAAATCCACGTTTCTGCTGGTCCTTAAAAAAATATTCTTTAAAATGTTCACGTTTCTGTTGGTCCTTGAAAAAATATTCTTTAAAATGTTCACGTTTCTGTTGGTCCTTGAAAAAATATTCTTTAAAAAATCCACGTTTCCGTTGGTCCTTGAAAAAATATTCTTTAAAATGTTCACGTTTCTGTTGATGCTTGAAATTATATTCTTTAAAAAATCCACGTTTCTGTTGATGCTTGAAATTATATTCTTTAAAAAATCCACGTTTCTGCAAGTCCTTGAAAAAATATTTCTTAAAAATTCCGCTTTTCTAAATATTCTTTACGAAATCACAATAATCATAATTTCTTAAAAAATATTTCATTTTTCTGTTGATGTTTTATATATGTATGTATTTTTGTTTATGTGTTTATATATTTGATTGATTTGGATCTGTCTACACAACAACAATTCCGAACATGTTTCTGCTAACAAAAATATGCAAAATTTCCCACACAAAACACGATTTTGCATAAGCCAAATAATTATTAATTCGAAAAATAAAA